CTCTGAACGCACAGCAGATCATGAGATTGATTGTGATAATTTTCTCTCCGAGTCGGAGCACTTTCACTGTGGCCCGCAAAAATTTCCTTCTTTCAAAACACGCTGGACCATTGAGGGCAGTGCCAGTGCTGGCAATAGTAAAACCAACAGTTTAAAATGCAGTAAATGCAACAAAAACTACATAGATCAAAATAGTTTAAAACATCAGGCTTCATTTTATGAACTTGTTGAAATTTCACGTCTATCAGTACAAACATCAGTATTACCACCTGTGGCAACATGTACATCGATTAATTGTCGTTACGGTGATGGTACGTGTACACCAACAGCTGCAGCAACAACAAATGTTACCTTTAGCATAGGAGGAGATGGTCTGGGGCAGAGAGGCTCATCGCTACCGATACAAACATTGCATTGTACGGATAGTCGTACATCTTTTTCGGAAACTTGTTTAGCACAGGCAATGACTCAAATTGGTAAATATGCCACAAATGGCCAACAACAGCAGCATCAACACCACGGCCATCATACGCACAATCAGCATCACAATCATCAGCATGGTCACCACCATCATCATCGTGTTCCCATGCGAGTTTCAACAACAAAACGAGATACAAAAACCGCCAAAACTTTAACCATGGTTATGGGTGGATTCATTGCCTGTTGGTTGCCATTTTTCGTTTACTACATACTGATACCATTTCTACCGCCCGCTGCTGTCTCTGAAGGTCTCATGTCATTTTTGACTTGGGTCGGTTGGGTGAATTGTGCCATCAATCCATTTATCTATGCTTTTTACAATCCGGATTTTCGTACTGCATTCTGGCGGTTGACATGTAAACGAATTTGCAAGCAAAAGTCACCCGCAAATCATATGACCATGTTTAGAGGATAAAAGTTTTTAAAGGTTGAAGCTGCAACAGCAACAACCAAACACTGATGTTGCTGTTGTCGATATCCAGGACATTGTTAATGCTGTGGCCGTTACTGTAGAACAAAAAACATGAAATGACATAGAAATAAGTAAAAGAATTTCAAACATACATACCAACGCACACCAAATAGAAACTGTTGTAAATATTTAGAAAACAGTGGTTTTTTACTAGCATTTAAGTTAAATTTTCTGTTTTGATCTCGGATATGTAATTTAAGTAGTGCTATAGCAGTTTATTGTTATACAAATTGTTAAAATTTCAAATTATTTTTTAATCCTATTTCCGGTATATGATTTTTTAAGCTTAATTAAAACTGTAAACTTTTTATCATCATAAGTATTTATTTGTATTATGTGTAAAATTTTTTAATTAATCTTTAGTTATCTAGTTTTAATGAACAATTGTGTATACGTTTAAAGAAGAAAATTAATCTTTAATTATTTATGTAGTTATAATTAAGGAAACATGTACTTCTTAAAAAATGTGTAAATAAATTTATTAAAAAAACGATATAAATTTTAGGTGTATATTTGAAAGAATAATTCTAACTTAGTCGAAAGTTATCTAGAACTCAAGACGAACTGAACTAGAACTGAACTAGAACTGAACTAGAACTGAACTAGAACTGAACTAGAAATGAACTTGAACTGAACTAGAACTGAACTAGAACTGAACTAGAACTGAACTAGAACTGAACTAGAACTGAACTAGAACTGAACTAGAACTGAACTAGAACTGAACTAGAACTGAACTAGAACTGAACTAGAACTGAACTAGAACTGAACTAGAACTGAAATAGAACTGAACTAGAACTGAACTAGAACTGAACTAGAACTGAACTAGAACTGAACTAGAACCGAACTAGAACTGAACTAGAACTGAACTAGAACTGAACTAGAACTGAACTAGAACTGAACTAGAACTGAACTAGAACTGAACTAGAACTGAACTAGAACTGAACTAGAACTGAACTAGAACTGAACTAGAAAACTGAACTAGAACTGAACTAGAACTGAACTAGAACTGAACTAGAACTGAACTAGAACTGAACTAGAACTGAACTAGAACTGAACTAGAACTGAACTAGAACTGAACTAGAACTGAACTAGAACTGAACTAGAACTGAACTAGAACTGAACTAGAACTGAACTAGAACTGAACTAGAACTGAACTAGAACTGAACTAGAACTGAACTAGAACTGAACTAGAACTGAACTAGAACTGAACTAGAACTGAACTAGAACTGAACTAGAACTGAACTAGAACTGAACTAGAACTGAACTAGAACTGAACTAGAACTGAACTAGAACTGAACTAGAACTGAACTAGAACTGAACTAGAACTGAACTAGAACTGAACTAGAACTGAACTAGAACTGAACTAGAACTGAACTAGAACTGAACTAGAACTGAACTAGAACTGAACTAGAACTGAACTAGAACTGAACTAGAACTGAACTAGAACTGAACTAGAACTGAACTAGAACTGAACTAGAACTGAACTAGAACTGAACTAGAACTGAACTAGAACTGAACTAGAACTGAACTAGAAATGACTAGAACTGAACTAGAACTGAACTGAAACTGACTAGAACTGAACTAGAACTGAACTAGAAACTGAACTAGAACTGAACTCGAAATGAACTAGAACTGAATAAACTGAACTAGAACTGAACTAGAACTGAGACTAGAACTGAACTAGACTGAACTAGAACTGAACTAAGAACTGAACTAGAAACTGAACTAGAAATGAACTAGAACTGAAACTAGAACTGAACTAGAGAACTAGAACTAACTAGAACTGAACTAGAACTGAACTAGAAACTGAACTAGAACTGAACTAGAACTGAACTAGAACTGAACTAGAACTGAACTAGAACTGAACTAGAACTGAACTAACTGAACTAGAACTGAACTAGAACTGAACTAGAACTGAACTAGACCTGAAACTAGAAATGAACTAGAACTGAAACTAGAAACTGAACTAGAACTGAACTAGAACTGAAACTAGAACTGAACTAGAACTGAACTAGAACTGAACTAGAACTGAACTAGAAACTGAACTAGAACTGAACTAGAACTGAACTAGAACTGAACTAGAACTGAACTAGAACTGAACTAGAACTGAACCTAGAACTGAACTAACTGAACTAGAACTAGAACTGAACTAGAACTGAAACTAGAACTGAACTAGAACTGAACTAGAACTGAACTAGAACTGAACTAGAACTGAACTAGAACTGAACTAGAACTGAACTAGAACTGAACTAGAACTGAACTAGAACTGAACTAGAACTGAACTAGAACGAACTATAACTGAACTAGAACTGAACTAGACTGAACTAGAAACTGAACTGAACCTGAACTAGAACTGAACTAGAACTGAACTAGAACTGAACTAGAACTGAACTAGAACTGAACTAGAACTGAACTAGAACTGAACTAGAACTGAACTAGAACTGAACTAGAACTGAACTAGAAATGAACTAGAACTGAACTAGAACTGAACTAGAACTGAACTAGAACTAAACTAGAACTGAACTAGAACTGAACTAGAACTGAACTAGAACTGAACTAGAACTGAACTAGAACTGAACTAGAACTGAACTAGAACTGAACTAGAACTGAACTAGAACTGAACTAGAACTGAACTAGAACTGAACTAGAACTGAACTAGAACTGAACTAGAACTGAACTAGAACTGAACTAGAACTGAACTAGAACTGAACTAGAACTGAACTAGAACTGAACTAGAACTGAACTAGAACTGAACTAGAACTGAACTAGAACTGAACTAGAACTGAACTAGAACTGAACTAGAACTGAACTAGAAATGAACTAGAACTGAACTAGAACTGAACTAGAACTAAACTAGAACTGAACTAGAACTGAACTAGAACTGAACTAGAACTGAACTAGAACTGAACTAGAACTGAACTAGAACTGAACTAGAACTGAACTAGAACTGAACTAGAACTGAACTAGAACTGAACTAGAACTGAACTAGAACTGAACTAGAACTGAACTAGAACTGAACTAGAACTGAACTGAACTAGAACTGAACTAGAACTGAACTAGAACTGAACTAGAACTGAACTAGAACTGAACTAGAACTGAACTAGAACTGAACTAGAACTGAACTAGAACTGAACTAGAACTGAACTAGAACTGAACTAGAACTGAACTAGAACTGAACTAGAACTGAACTAGAACTGAACTAGAACTGAACTAGAACTGAACTAGAACTGAACTAGAACTGAACTAGAACTGAACTAGAACTGAACTAGAACTGAACTAGAACTGAACTAGAACTGAACTAGAACTGAACTAGAACTGAACTAGAACTGAACTAGAACTGAACTAGAACTGAACTAGAACTGAACTAGAACTGAACTAGAACTGAACTAGAACTGAACTAGAACTGAACTAGAACTGAACTAGAACTGAACTAGAACTGAACTAGAACTGAACTAGAACTGAACTAGAACTGAACTAGAACTGAACTAGAACTGAACTAGAACTGAACTAGAACTGAACTAGAACTGAACTAGAACTGAACTAGAACTGAACTAGAACTGAACTAGAACTGAACTAGAACTGAACTAGAACTGAACTAGAACTGAACTAGAACTGAACTAGAACTGAACTAGAACTGAACTAGAACTGAACTAGAACTGAACTAGAACTGAACTAGAACTGAACTAGAACTGAACTAGAACTGAACTAGAACTGAACTAGAACTGAACTAGAACTGAACTAGAACTGAACTAGAACTGAACTAGAACTGACTAGAACTGAACTAGAACTGAACTAGAACTGAACTAGAACTGAACTAGAACTGAACTAGAACTGAACTAGAACTGAACTAGAACTGAACTAGAACTGAACTAGAACTGAACTAGACTGAACTAGAACTGAACTAGAACTGAACTAGAACTGAACTAGAACTGAACTAGAACTGAACTAGAACTGAACTAGAACTGAACTAGAACTGAACTAGAACTGAACTAGAACTGAACTAGAACTGAACTAGAACTGAAATAGAACTGAACTAGAACTGAACTAGAACTGAACTAGAACTGAACTAGAACTGAACTAGAACTGAACTAGAACTGAACTAGAACTGAACTAGAACTGAACTAGAACTGAACTAGAACTGAACTAGAACTGAACTAGAACTGAACTAGAACTGAACTAGAACTGAACTAGAACTGAACTAGAACTGAGCTAGAACTGAACTGAACTAGAACTGAACTCGAACTGAACTAGAACTGAACTAGAACTGAACTAGAACTAGAACTGAACTAGAACTGAACTAGAACTGAACTAGAACTGAACTCGAACTGAACTAGAACTGAACTAGAACTGAACTAGAACTGAACTAGAACTGAACTAGAACTGAACTAGAACTGAACTAGAACTGAACTAGAACTGAACTAGAACTGAACTAGAACTGAACTAGAACTGAACTAGAACTGAACTAGAACTGAACTAGATCTGAACTAGATCTGAACTAGAACTGAACTAGAACTAACTAGAACTGAACTAGAACTGAACTAGAACTGAACTAGAACTGAACTAGAACTGAACTAGAACTGAACTAGAACTGAACTAGAACTGAACTAGAACTGAACTAGAACTGAACTAGAACTGAACTAGAACTGAACGAACTGAACTAGAACTGAACTAGAACTGAACTAGAACTGAACTAGAACTGAACTAGAACTGAACTAGAACTGAACTAGAACTGAACTAGAACTGAACTAGAACTGAACTAGAACTGAACTAGAACTGAACTAGAACTGAACTAGAACTGAACTAGAACTGAACTAGAACTGAACTAGAACTGAACTAGAACTGAACTAGAACTGAACTAGAACTGAACTAGAACTGAACTAGAACTGAACTAGATTGAACTGGAACTGAACTAAAACTGATCTAGGACTGAGCTACAACTAGACCTAAAAAAATTTTATCTCAAATCTAAAATATTCAATAATTTATCTCCTAATATTGCACAAAGAAGAAAAATCTGACATTATTAAATTTGCCAATTTTGTTTTGCTTAATTTGACAATAGGTAGTATTAGGTATTGACATATTTAAATAGGACAACATCTGCTACAATGTCCTATTTTGACAATAGCAGTAATAATATAGTAAAATATATTATCATCTGTTTTCAACCTACTCCACTGTTTCCAATAGATTTTCCATAAAGTAAATATCCAAAGAAGAAAAAAATATATGTATGTCAATGTTGTTTCTTCCACTTCTTCCAATAGTCTATGGTTCTGTGTTTCAGTCTATCACTTATTGTTTGCAGCCATCAATGCATGTGTAATGAAATTTAAAGCACTTTAATATTGAATGGTAGTAGTAGACAG